AGCTCTGTGCTCAGGTGACTCTTGGCTGTGCTTGGGGGACCATCTGCAGGAACTTGAATAGGTGTCTGCTTACATGCAAGCAAATGTCCTAACTCTTGTACTGTTTCTCTGGCTCTTCATTCCTTTTTATTGCAGAATAATATACTGTAGTGTGGATCTAGCTTGGTTTACTTATCCATTCATTCACTGATGGACATTTGGGTGATTTAATAGTTCTTCTGTGAGCATTTCTGTACAAGTTTTTGCTTAAAGACCTGATTTCTATTCGTTTGACTACTTGCTAGTAGAATTACTAGGTTATGTTGAATTTTTATTTTTTTTAGGAAATGCCAGACTCTTTTCTATAGAAGTCAACCATTCCCTTCATCCTGCCAGGAAATATACAAAGGTTCCAATTTCTTCACATACTTAGCAATACTTGTTATTTTCCATTTTTGACAAGTATGATTAACCTCAAAGATAAAAATGTCACATTGTGGTTTTGATTTGTGCTTTACTGATAAACAACCTAATAACTTTTATAACCTGCTACTTTTATTCAGTTCACAAACTTAATTTTTATGTTATACTTCATTTAGGCTGATTAGGATTAAATGTATTTATAGACATATTCCTCTTGGGCTAGAACCTGGAATTATAATCAATACATTAGTGTTTATAAGAAAAATTAAAAGGAAGGATAGAAAGATAACACTGTAGCACTGTCCTCCCATTGTTCACTGGGATTTGCTCGAACAGGCACCAGTAACATATCCATTGTGAGACTTGTTGTTACTGCTTTTGGCATATCTAATACACCATGGGGAGCTTGCCAGGCTCTGCCATGGCGGTGGGATACTCTTGGTAGTTTGCCGGGCTCTCTGAGAGGGGCGGAAGAATCAAACCCAGGTTGGCCACGTGCAAGGGAAACATCCTACCCACTGTGCTATTCCCCAAAGTTAAATAAACATTTTTTTTTTGCTTTTTGGGTCACACCCAGTGATGCACAGGGGTTACTCCTGGCTCTGAACTCAGGAGCTACTCCTGGCGTGCTCAGAGGACCATATGGGATGCTGGGAATCGAACCTGGATCGGCTGTGTGCAAGGCAAACGCCCTACCCGCTGTGCTATCTCTCCAGTCCCTAAATAAACATTTTAAATCCACAACTAGTTACTAGGTTTTTAGGGGCTCCCGTAAGAGAATTTACCAAACTGTGCACAGGTGTTTACATAACTAGATAATCACTGTCACTGTCACTGTTCTCCCGTTCATCGATTTGCTCGAGCGGGCCCAGTAACTTCTTCATTGTGACACTTGTTACTGTGTTTGGCATATCAAAGTGGGTGAGATACTCTCAGTAGCTTGCCAGGGCTCTCCGAGAGAGGGGGAAGAATCGAACCTGGGTCAGTCGGGTTGCCCGCGTGCAAGGCAAACGCCCTACCCGCTGTGCTATTGCTCCAGCCTACTAGATAGATAGAAGGGAAAAAAATCAATCTCTTGTTTGAATAAAAACAAAATAGAAACTATTCTTCCCTTTCCCATTCTTCCCTTTTTCAGGCTCACAAAGATAGCATGCTCTCATTTGCTTCAGTCTCTGCCACTCTTTTTTTGTCTGGCACAACCTTACCCACTGCCCCCAATTCTTAAATTAGGCACCATGATTTGCAACACTGTTAATAGTAATGTTTCACACATACAAAGTTGCTTCGCTGCACCTGCCACCAGAGCCAGCATCCATCCTCCTCTCTCCCTAGGTGCCCTCTCCTCACCCACCCACAACCCACCTTTGGCAAACTATGTTCTACAGGCCCACTCTCAGGGTCTGTTCTCACTGGCCATTTCTTAGTCTCTTTCTCACATTCATTCTCTCTTTCCTAAGATTGAACCCAGGGCCTCACACATGCAAGGCAAGTGCATGACACTGGCTACATCCCCAGCCCTGTTTCTCTATACTTCACGTGGGAGATAGATCTTCTGGTTTTTGTCCTTCTCTCTTTGACACACTTCACTTAAACACCCTCCAGTAGTAACAAACTAGGATTTGTGGTTTTGCTTTACACTTTACTAACAAACAACATAATAACCTTTATAACCCACTACTATCCAGTTCACCAGCTTTTCATGTTTTATCTTTTCCTGTAACTTAGTATTCTATTATGTATACATACCACAGTTTTTTTTAAGCCATTGGGCGTTGGGCATTTGTTTGCAGATATTGACTGCAAATATTGCTGTAATGAACACAGGAGTGCAAATACCTTTTTGAATTGATGTTTTTGGGCTCTTGAGGTAGATACCACGAAGCTGAATCACTGGTCATATGGAAGCTCAATACTTAATTTTTTGAGAAGCCTCCATAATGTTTTCCAGAGGATGAACCAGATAACATTCTTAGCAACAGTAGATGAGGATTCTTTCTCCCTTACCAGCACTGGTTGTTTCTACTCTTTGAAACTATACCAGACTTACTGGTATGAAGTGACAGCTAGATCATTGCTATTTTCATTTGCATTTTACCAATAAGTGATACAGAATGTTTTTTTCATATACCTATTGACCACCTGAATTTCTTAGAGAAAGTATCTGTTTTGCTTCTCTATTTTTTTGGTGGGGTTGTTTAGTTTTGTGGTACCATATAAACTTGGATATTAGCCTTTTGTTTGATACGTGGTGAGCAAATATTTTCTCCCAGTCAGTAGAATCCCATTTTATTCTGGTCATCATTTATTTTGCAGTGTAGAAGCTTAATGTGATGTAGTCCCATTTGTCTACTTTGTTTGTTTTCTTGGCCAATAGAACTGAGTCTCTGAAGATGCCTCTGAAGAAATTATTAGGCATTTATGTATTCTTTGATGTCTTTTTATGGATTTGATCTAATATTGACATCTTTAAACCATTCTGAATTAACTTTTGTATATGGGGTGAGATAGGGATCCAAACTGACCCCCTCTTTCCTGCCCCTCTCCCTCCCTCCCTCCCTCCTTCCCTCCCTCCCTTCCTACCTTCCTTCTATGGGCTAACCAGTTTCCCAGCACCATTTCTGGAAGAGGCTTTCCTTGCTTTATTTCATACACCTAGTTTATCCAATTGGAAGTTCTTCTCGGAAGCAGAACCAGGAGCAGATTCCCCTCAGGCACCTTTTTCTAACTCTGAAGTTCAGATGATCATTTCTGAATTGAATGGGATCAGGTCTCCTGATCTTTTCTCTCACCATTATCCCATGGATTACTCAGACACTGCCAAATTCTGAGAAGGGAGAAACACTGAACCCAGAAGCTGGGGGAAGGAGTAGTTAAAAAACAAAAACAAAAACATTGGCAGAGAGACGGAGTAGCGTGAATGAAGACCAGCCAGGAGGGAACACAAAGAGCTTGAACGAAGAACTGAATCAAGTAGAATCATGCTTGACCCTGAGATCTCTCCAGGCAGGAATGAAGAAGTCACACACCACCTGCTCGTGGGGCAGGCAGTGTGGGGCTTGGATATTTGGGTGTGAGTTCTGGGACTGTTCTAGCAGCTGGGATCTTGGGATCTCTGAGGTTGAGTTATTTGCAGAGGCTTTGTGTTCAGATAGATTCTACCCCTAACACCTGCCTGACTTAGGGCAAAGGCTTCACCCTTGGGTTTCAGCTGTGGCATCAATAGAGCAGTAATTCCTTAGTATAATGGTTCGGTGAGATAGTGAGTTCGAAGTAGATGCCGTTGGTAACCTGGGACAGTGGTCGCCTTGAGAGTGGGGCCAGGGGATGTGCTGGGGTGCAACCTTCCAATTCACCAGGAGGTATCAGGGACAGGGTGTCACTGGTGGTGTTGGACACAACTGTGTGGAGGAAAAAGATTTTAAGTTTTGTCAAATCCCAGGAAAAGATGTTCGATTCTGGTGAGGATTAAAGGGAGTTCTCCAATGGAATACTCTGCAGCTGTCAGGAGAGATGAAGTCATGAACTTTGCTTATAAATAGATATGGAGAGTATAATGCTAAGTGAAATGAGTCAGAAAGAGGACAGACATAGAAGGACTGCACTCATTTGTGGAGTATAAAACAACATTAACATGAGGCTGACACCTAAGGATAGTAGATACATGGGACAGGAAGATTGCTCCATAGCTGGAAGCCTGCCTCATGAGCAAAAGGGAGAAGGAAGCTGGAATGGAGAAGGGATCACTAAGGAAATGATGGCTTGAGGAACCAGTCAGATGGGAGTTGTGTGCAGAAAGTAGATAAAGGACCAAACATGATAACCTCTCAGAGTCTGTATTGCAAACCATAATGCCCAAAGTAGAGCAAGAGTATGGGGAATATTGTCTGCCATGGAGGCAGGGGGAGGGTGGGAAAGGGGGGGGCATACCGGGAATATTGGTGGTGGGGAACGTGCACTGGTGGAGGGATGGTTGTTTGATCATTGTGTGATTGTAACCCAAACATGAAAGCTTGTAACTATCTCATGGTGATTCAATAAAATTTTTTAAAAAAGGGAGTGTCTCAAGTCCCAGAACTCTTTTGCCATTGACAGTACATCCCAGCCTAGAGCCAGGTCATGTGTGCGTGACCTGCCGACACAACCCTGTCTGCCGAGGGCTGCACTCTGGAGAGCTCTCTCTGCCAGGTGCTCAAGGGTGGCAGCTGGTACCTCCTCATGCCCCCCAGGACAGAACCCCCAACGCACACCCCTAATCCCCTCCATTGGACTTTGATTAAGTCTGAACCGGCAGCACCCTGCTGATACTGGGTTCTACCAAGAAGCCCCATCACCAGTACTCTGTCCTTGGGAGCTTGGCCAGCGTGTGCCTGAGAAATATTGCCACAGATGAATGCTTCTGGGGCCACAGGGACAGCCACACCAGGGCTCAGTCACAGGGCAAGCAGGGAGCAAAGCCCACGGACAGAGGCTTGACTCTCCAGCAAAGCTGGGTGCTTCAAAGCCCCCCTCAGCTCTGCCCGTCAGAGACCAGTGGGTGTGCAGAGATGTCTTTATTTGAACAGCTGGGACAATCACAGTTAGAGAAGCCCAGGGCCGGGTGTAAACTGGCTAAGCTGAGGAGAAGGCAGCCCTGTGAGGATGCCTGAAGTGAAGCAGGGGCTGAGGTGTTTTGAAACTGCATTTAGGTCATGGCTGCTCAGACAGACAAGCCAGATGTCTTCCTGAGCAGAGATGAAAAGGCAATAATGCGGCCACCCCCTTCCTCCCTGGCCTTCCTGGGAGAGGGAGCAAGGCAGTGCGCAACAGGTGAAGTGTGGCTCAGATAGGTCTCCTCAGCCCTGGCTCTCCCCCGGTCCCCCGGGGCTTTGTCCAGGCTCAGGGCCAGGCCCTGCTAGTTCAGTCGATCTTTTCTTTCTCCTCACAGCTCGTGCAGGTGGGGAATGCACACTGGCTGAATGTCCGAATTCTGGATCAGCTCAAACATGAATTTCACCTGGGTCTCGTAGGCTCGGATGGAGATTTTCTCATTGATTCCGTGGATGCTGAGGGACAGATTTGGGGTGAGAGGGGGGAGCCGGTTGCTGTAGTACAGGTAGATGCACACCCACACCCACATCCCCTGCAGCACCTGCCTGCCACACTTCAGGGGTATGACGGAGGTTCCTATGGCACTTGGGGATCTCTCCAGGACTATTCCCATGGCAAAGAATAATGGGACTGGGGAATAAAAACTCCTGGAGGGTTCAGAGGCCTCCTATTCTGGTATCCACTTTTTTTTTTTTGATTTTTGGGTCATACCTGGCAATGCACAGGGGTTACTCCTGGCTTTGCACTCAGGAATCACTCCTGGTGGTGCTCAGGGAACCATATGGGATGCTGGAAATCGAACCCGGGTCGGCTGTGTGCAAGGCAAATACCCTACCCACTGTACTATCGCTCCGGCCCTGGTATCCGTTTTGTAATTTTTCCTCTCTTCTCCGGCCAGAGTCCCCAGTCAGACCCATATCTAAGTCAGCACCTCCATCAAACGCCTGCAGAGGCATGAGAGAATTAGCTCTGGTCTCCAGGGGTTTTCTAGCTCATCCATGAACTTGACCACCACCTCTCATGCCACCAGCCCGCCTCCCCTCAACATCACACAGCACAATGAACAAAACAATTATACAACCATCCACCGAATCTCAAAGACAAAAGAAAATCAGAGTTGCAGCCTACTCTCCTCATTCCCCACCTTTACCTAAAAGCTATGAACTCTGCTCTGAAGCTCATTTTCAAAGCTTGGTTTTTTGTTTTTTTTTTGTTTTGTTTTTTGGTCACACTTGATGGTGCTCAGGGGTTTGTCCTGGTTCACGGCTTAGGAAACCATGCAGTGCTGGGGGTCAAACCCAGGCCTCCTACATACAAAGTGTGTTTCAGCCTATTGAGCTGTCTCCAGTCCCAAATCGTTTTGATTTTGTTAGAAACCAGCTCTGGACATGATAAGGAGCAGCGGTAAATGCAAATAACTCCCGTCATCCCCAGAACTAAAATTGGACTGGAGAAGCCACAAAGGTCTCACATCGCAACTTAAACTCGTGATCACCTTTCAGTTTCCTTTAGTGTATTTTCTTTTGAGAATTCGAAGCATGAACCCACCTAATGAGTCCACTTTTGACCTGTGAGCGGTACTGAGAATTCTGGAGTCTCAATTTTGGGGGAGGAAATAAGGCCCAGACGTGAAGCACTTTCCCAAAGGGAGGAAGAACCAGGATTGCACTCAAGGGTCCCAAGTCAAACATTATGTCCATCTCTGGAATCCAGCAGCCAGCCTTGGAGCAGACTTGGATTCTGGATTCTGCATGGTCTTCCTTTCAGTCTGTGCGAACCCTGATCTGCCTTGTTCTGGGATAGTAGATGACCCGGTCTGAAATGACAGCCCAGACTGAACTCGTCTTTCCCCTCTGCTATTCAAACCTGTTGTGGTCACTCACCTGCGGAAGCCCTGAGGCTGCAGGTAGACAGGGTTGAACCTGTAGATGTTGGTGGTGAGGTTCTGATAGTGGCGGCTGTCTGTGTTGCCAATACAAGTACCTGGAAAGGCAAGAACAAGGGCTTTATGTGAATCAAGCCCAGAGAGGGACTGGGATATGGGCAGTCCAGTGAGGACCCAGGGTCCTTGCAAATCTATGAGTGGGCCTGCAGATGGTTCCCCATTCTCATAACTTTCCTAAGACATCACCCAGCCAGAAATATGGCATTTGTTAGAGTCCAAAGCTGAGTGTCTGGGGCGGGATAATACCTAGATTTCATACCTATAGCCAGACTATTTCTGAAATTTAAATATCTGAAACCCGCATATCACTTCTTTAGTGCCCATGCTCTATCATCCTAGGTGAGGAATATATTCTTTCAGGGAGCTTTACTGTTATTAAGTGTTTCCTCTCAAAGCAGAACAAAATTTCCTGCTTTTCTCATCCTGTGATGGAGAAAACTCTTGACTCTTCTCTTAGGGGTCAAACCTCAGGTTTGCAAAGTCCTGGAACCCCTCTAGCGCCTCCCTGTCCTGTAGACACAGTGCTGAACACCCTGAGCTGGGCCCTGCTCCGGGAAGGAGGTTCTTCAGGAAAAGACAGCCCAGTAGCCAGTTTGAGTGCGGTGGGATATTGTGATATGGCTTTTTGTGGTTGGTTGATTTTCCACTCTTGACTTCAGAGGGCTAACTGGTCCCTTTAGGATTCCTTACTTGGGGGAGTTCTACCCCCCAGGACCCCTATTGAAAGAACTAAAGCAGAAAAGAGATTATCTATGGTGATTATCTATGGTGTTCTGAAGGGACAGTTGGGTTGGGGACCCATGAGGACTGAGAAAGGAGAGTCTGTGGGAGCCAGAGTCTCTGGATGGTGACTTTGAGAGAAATCGGAACTCTCAGAAGTTTGTAGAGAGTTCCGATTTGTTTGTAGCAGAAGTCTGAGGAGGTGGCTAGTAGCCTCGGGGAAAGACTGTTGGCAGTGTTCAGGGAGGTGAAGTCCACTATCCAGTAGGTCAGGGAATCTGAGGAAATCTCTAACTGGAAGTGACCTTGTGAGTAGAACAATGGTTGATCCTGTGTTGCTGCATAAGACCCAAAAGCCTGACTCAAAGTGGGGGATGTGAGGAGTATTTGCTGGCCTCAGTTTGAGGCTGAATTTCCTGATGAATAGATTTGATTTAAGTTGACTAAAACAAGGCTACATTCCAGAATTCTTTGCAGATTTGATCAAATCAAATCTCGGTAGTGGGTCCAGTTATTGCACTGTAACAACTTCCCCAAGTGATCCTCTTCCACTCATGAAGTGAAGAGGCACAGTATACATGTGAAAGGTTGTAGGCTGGGGGAACTGTACAGGGTCTGAACTGGGAGAGATGAAGAAACTGATGTGAATTGTAACAGCTGGAGGTGTCCCTGGGCTGGGGATTTAGAACTTCGCCACTGAGCAGTAATCCTAGAACGGGCCACTACCAGACTTGAAAGAATTTGGGGGAGTTCTATATCTCCTGGAAGGGCGAGTCTGGAGGGCTGTGTTCTATGCCCTCGTGCCTGGTCTAGGTTAAGCCAGGACCCAGCCTCCACTGACCTAATTGATTGTTTCTGTTCCTTTCCTGTTTGCTTTTGCACTTCCACTCCAAGGGGAAAATACAGTTCCACTCCCACCAGGAGGGGAGGCTGCCAGCTGTTTCCAGAATGAACAGCTGGGGTGGGGGAAGGGCAGCAGATGCTGCTCGGAAACAGGTTGGCTCCCGCTCCCCGGCCTCCAGCCTCAGCTGATGAAATCATTACCTGGGACAACAATGCTGACTTCCGGGAAGACGGACTGTATGGTCTGGCGGAGTAGCTGGTAACCCAAGGCCTGATCATCAGAGGGGCTGACAGGCAGGGGCTCAAAGGCACGCAACACATGCATCTGGACCCGCTCATCAGCCACGACATTCTTAACAAATTCTAGGACCTTGACGGAAGAAGCAAAAGGGAATTGGGTTTCTTCGTGACCTGCTGGCCAAGTATCTCTGAATTCCAAGAGTTCCGATTTCTCTCAGTGAGGCAGAGACCTGGTGTTAAGAGGCAGCTGTAGGGGCTGGAGAAATAGCACAGCAGGTAGGGCGTTTGCCTTGCACGCGGCCAACCTGGGTTCGATTCCCAGCCTCCCATATGGTCCCCTGAGCACTGCCAGGAGTAATTCCTGAGTGCAGTAATTCCTGCGTGCAGAACCAGGAATAATCTCTGTGCATCGCCAGATTTGACCCAAAAAGGAAAAAAAAAAAGCTGTAACGGTGGAACTTCACTGTTTCAGCCAGAGGGAGGGGAAAGAAGGGCTGGCCTGACTGGAGAGAGTCTATGGTATTGTACGTATGGGTCAACACTCAGGAGGCTGGTCAGATCAGGACATGACAACTGGGAGACATAAACTTGGTGGAGCTGTGAAGAGACAGCAGAGGGGCTATTGCAGCCATCTTGGGGCAGGAGGCTTGGTGACCTGCCCTCACACCAACTGGGGATTTTGGTGGTGTTGAAAGGCCACGTTTCTTTTTCTCCCTGGGCATCCCTGCTTCCTGTTTGTGACTACCCACACTGGAGTCAGGAAGATGAGCTCAACATAGGCAGACGGGAGCCGTGGGGCTGGTATTCACCTTTTCTCTTGCCTCCTTTCCTCAGGAAGGAACCTGAGGAAGCTCCTAGAAATTCAGTCTGAAATAACTAGAGCTGAACCCAGCAAAAGTCCTGGTCCCAAGCAGGATGCAGACCCGACCCTGAGGGTCAGGTCACATGCAGCTAAGCGGGAGGCTGCCTTAGAGTGTCACTCCTAGTTCATGACCACCCAGGTAAAGAATTCCTGCGCTGGTCTCAGCCAATGCTTTAGAACTGCCTCTGCTTAAAAAAAAAATTGGGTGGGACATGTTTCTCAGTAGCTGGCATCCAATCACCTAAAGGGAGGACCTTATCTCAAGAAGGACATATCCTCCATGGAGTCTGGAAATGAAATAAGGGTTCTTGCTTCTAGCTACGAAGCTACTTTTTTTTCTTTTTGGGTCATACCCAGCATTGCACAGGGGTTACTCCTGGCTCATGCACTCAGGAATTACTCCTGTCGGTGCTTGGAGGACCATATGTGATGCTGGGAATTGAACCCGGGTCGGTCACGTGCAAGGCAAACACCCTATCCGCTGTGCTATCGCTCCAGCCCCCGAAGCTACTTCTGAGCCAAACTAATTCCCAGCAAATGGAGAGGAAGGAGGAACTGGTCTCAGTTCACACTTATCAGAGCTTCTTCTCCCAAATACTCTAGCAAAATCAATATGAAGTCTTAATATATTCTCTACCCTTGGGTATGTTTCTGAAGCTGGTCTCTATAAGGTGTGTTGGGGCTGTCTCTGCTTTCCCTGCCCCAAATTAAAGAAATCCTGCCCCAGAAAGGGAAGGGACTTACTGATGAGACCCCTCAGTAAGATACATGAAGAACTCGATTTCCCACAGGTTACTAAGCTAGCTTCTGTGTTGACCTCATTTCCAGTTCTGAGACCATAAAGGGCATATAATAAATGTTAGTTTCACGGAACTGGAAAGATATAAATCAACAAAAGTTTTAAGACTTGTGCAAGCCTAGGGCAGAGCACTGAGTAGCAGAGTGCAAGACTGGCATATGAAAGACCTGGGGTCCATCCCTGGCTCTGCCAACAACAAAATGGTGAAAATGAATGGTTTGGGCTGGGAAGATGGCTCACAGGGTTGGAGTGCAAGCTCTGCATGTAGGAGCGAGACCTGGTTTCTGCCTCCAGCATGGCACATGATTCTTTGAAGCATCTCCTGAACACCACAAATGTGGTTGTGAAGCAACCCCCTCCAAAAAAAAATTGCTCAGGGATGTATTGCTAGGATGAGTGTCTGACCTCAAAGGATGGTTTTTTCTTTTTGGAACAAGAAGGGTGGTATTCATTTAGGATGGATTCCCTAGTACTGCATTCTGAACTTGTATTTGAGGATATAAAACTGATGAAGACAGAGCATGGAAAGAGGCCCAAAACAAATTGAGAAGTGACACCCAGTGCTGTGCTTCTGACCTGGGGCTTGCTCATCTAATGTGGACACTAACATGAGGCGCTATCCTGGACAGTAACCAGAGGCACGTGGATGGGAGTAGGAAGGACAACGGCATGAGGGACTCAAAAGCTCGTTAGTGCACACACTGAGCTCTTATTACCCTTATAGTTGGTATAGCACATATCCACATCATTATGTTGTTCTATTTCATGTGTAGACAGATTTTCCTGACTGGTGAAGGGTAAAGTTGTTGAAGGCAAAAACAGAGACATAAAAACCAGCCAGGGGTCAGAAAAATAGCTCAATGAGCAAGTGCTTGCTTTCTGTAGAGGAAGTCTGGATTTGATCCCCAGCACCACATGGTCCCCTGAGCACCAGGGGGAGTAGTTCCAGAGTACCACTTGGGTATCCCTCACTCCACTCCCCAAACAAAAAGAAAATAGAATTTCTCAACGGTGTCAAACACTTGAGTGAGTTCACATCTTCTGGGAGGCTGCTCCTTCGAGCATCTCTTAGCCTTGGCTGGAACCACAGCCGGTACTCAACTCTACCCAGGTCCTGCCTCTCCTCAGGCCTCAGGGAACGTCTCTTCAGGGAAGACTGGGGCTTTCTTTAGGGCTGCTCACACCCTCACCCCCAATCCACCCACTTTGTGACAGGCCATTCTAGGAGACTCTGGGGTGCTACACGCTCCCCTGGCTGAGCACAGGGTTTCTGGGATGCTCAGCATCACCCTGAGTACAGCCCAGAATAGCAGCCCCACTTCTATGCCCAGCACCACAGGGTGTGACTAAAAAAAAACAATCAAAACAAATAAACAACAAAAAAGTCGCCTTGGATAGAGAGACCAGTCAAAGAGCTGGAAAAGAGGCTTTGTAGGCAGGAAGTCTGGGTTTAACTCCTGGCACTGCATGGCCATCAAGCACTGCCAGGAGCAACCCCAGCGCTCCACGCCAGGAGTAGCTCCTGAGCACCAAACCAAAACATTAAAACATTTGTTCATGGGTTCCTGGTTTTATTTATACTGGTGCTGTGGGTGAGTGGGATCACTATATATCTGAAGCACAGACTCAACAACACTGAAAACATGGTGAGATCTAAGCTGAAACCACTGACCTTTGTAATGTGCCTGTCAAGGTGGCAGGCAGGGGTGGGGAGAATGGCATATGGGAACACTGATGGAGAGGCTGGTATTGAAATATTATATACCTAAGACTCAACTATCAACAACTTTGTAAATTGCAGTTCTTTAATTAAATATTTTTTTTTCTTTTTGAGAAACACCCGGTGATGCACAGGGGTTACTCCTGGGTTTTCACTCAGGAATTACCCCTGGTGGTGCTCAGGGGACCATACGGGATGCTGGGAATTGAACCTGGCAAACGCCCTACCCGCTGTGCTATTATTGCTCCAGCCCCAAATTATTTAAATAAGTTTTAAATGGAAAAAATTTTAAATTTCTTCATGAGAATTTGATTTGGGCTGGGGCCTTTCCAAGTTTTGCTGAAGTGTCCCAAACGCTACTCCAAGTATTTCTTGGACAACTAGACCAATGGTTCAATGCTAGGGCCCAAGGATGCAGTGTTGCTCAGGTCCCGCACTGCCTGTGACCCTCAGGGGCACATCCAGCAGTGCTCAGGGGCACTTCTAGGGCTGCATACAAGAGACCTCGAGGGCGTGTAGTGCTGAGCCAGATGCATCCTTGCATCATTTCCCCAATCATCCACCCCAGTCACCCTGTTTGTTTGATTATTTGCTTATTGCTGCCTCTTTCCCATTGAATATGTGTCATAGACATGGGAATCTGGGCTGTCCTCTTCATTCTGAAATGCTAAGTGGGGTTCCATGAAGTGTCTCCCCCTTATCTCTACACCCTGAGACCCTTTCAGAACCAACCCTGCTTTCCACCTATTTATGATGATCTTGGGTGGAGCGATAGCACAGAGGGTAGGGCGATTGCCTTGCACTCGGCAGACCCAGGTTTGATTCCTCTGTCCCTCTCAGAGAGCCCGGCAAGCTACCGAGAGCATCCCACCCGCATGGCAGAGCCTAGCAAGCTCCCTGTGGCATATTCAATATGCCAAAAACAGCAACAACAAGTCTCACAACAGAGACATTACTGGTGCCCACTCGAGCAAATCAATGAACAACAGGAGGACAGTGCTAAAGTGCTATGACGGTTTTATGAAGACCATCATAAGTAGGTGCTGGAGGCCTGGTTACGCCCACAACAGAGGACAACAGAGGTTGGCACTGGATGAAAAGCGGGAGAGACCAGGCCCTGGGGGAAGAAGAGACTCCGGAGCTACTTGTATTCTTGCCTGGCCAGCTCCAGTCTCTGCACCCATGGCCCTCAGACCAGCAGGTGTGTCTGCAATGTGCAGCAGTGGGCCACAGGGAGAGGAGTGACCAGGACAAGGGCACAGGACGGGGAAGCTTTCCACTGGGTGGTAGACAGGATGGTCCAGATAGTCAGCCTTCACAGGGATTGGGGAGGAGGGCCTGAACCCGGGGCGGTGAAAGCCCTGCTGGTGGGAAACAGCCTATGGAAAGGGCCTGGAGTAGGAACGAGGCTGGAAAAAACCCAGTGGAAAGAAGCTCAGTGAGGGGAATTTAGTGATTTCCTGGCCCTAAGAGCCCCCAGGGAGAGGACAACAGAGGTTGGCACTGGATGAAAAGCAACAGGGCCCAGAGCTCACATGGGCCCCAAGACCCCAGGAATGCTGGGGACTCTGGCAGGCAATAAGGTGGCCTCTGTCCCTGTGGAGCAGACAAAGGCCTCCCTGGGAAGCGCTTAAGGGGAAAGGACCACTGGAGTATCATGGCCAACCCCACCCTGCTTAAATTGGAAATTGAATTGCTCGGCCTCTTAATTGTTGGGTTGCTTCTTCTGATCATTTTTTTAACAGCTCAGCTTTACTGTTAAAATGTGTTTGAACTCAACCTGAGGTAGAACTAAACTGGCCTTGGGAAAGATGTCAACTGTTCTGGAGCTTCTATTTCTACTCTGGCTTCCAGTTCAAAGGCCTCTTCTTCAGAGAAGCAGGACCCAATCCTTATACAGGCCTATTTCTTTGTTTCTTGTCCAGCGGCCCCCACCCTCACCTCATGGACATTCACAGAGCACACATTTTGCCTTTGCAACGACACATTCAACTGGACAGTTTGTAGCTTCAAGTTCATGGCAGGCTTAGTCCTCTGCCTTCTCTCCTTAACTTTCTCAGACTTCCCATGAAACTTTATGATTAAGGATTTCAACTCTATATATTACTAATACTCCAGTTAGCCTCTCCTTAAAGTTTTCATACTTCTCTATTAATATACCATCAGCTTTCCAAACTTCTAAACCACTATAAGTCTTTGTGAACTTGCTCTTCCTGGAACTCACAAGTATCAGCACCTGGCCAACCACTCAAGTTAAAGTCTTTGGAATTCTGCCTTTCTCTCTGCTACACACATGACACATGGAATCTATCTCTCACACCTCAGGGTGATGAGCTTGGCTCACACACTGTGCTTCACGCGTGTTGTCTGAATTTCAGCCCGTTCCTGTTTCCTGTGGGTCCTGCTCTAGCATTCACCAGCAGAGGAGACACAAATGCACCATGGAGCTCTCATGTAGCTCACAGTTTTCTGTCCCTTCTCACCTGGCACACAAGGCTTTGACACTCAAACTGCAAATCTTATCACTTCTCAACTTACCCTACTTTTTTTTTTTTCTTTTTGGGTCACACCCAGCAATGCTCAGGGGTTGCTCCTGACTCTAAACTCAGGAATTACTCCTGGCAGTGCTCGGGGGACTGTATGGGATGCTGGGAATTGAAGCCGGGTCTGCTGCATGCAAGGCAAATGCCCTACTGGCCGTGCTATAGCTCCAATCCCAACTTACCCTACTATTGAGTCTGACTCTGAATGCCTTACTTATAGAAAGTCCTGTTTGTTTCTTACATTTCTGATGCACTTTCTGGAGGTTAAAGAAGACTTTCTTTCTTTTTTTTTATTAGTGAAACACCATGAGGTATAGTTGTAGACTTACAAATTTTTGTGCTTTGGTTTCAGTTATACAATGATCGAGTACCTATCCCTCCACCAGTGCCCATTCTCCACCACCACTAATCCCAGTATCCCTCCCACCCTCTATCCCCCATTCCACCATGCCTCTGTAGCAGGGCATTCCCTTTTGTTCTCTCTCCTTTTGGGTGCTGTGGTTTGCAAAAGAGGAATTGAGTGGCGATCATGTTTGGTCTATAGTTTACTTTCAGCATGCATCTCCCATCCTGGGCGGATCTAAAGAAGACTTTCTTAACCCATGTATACAATGTCAGTTCTCTTCTTTGAACTGGTTGTAGAGTAATCTGTTTCTCCCTAATTGTTATGAATCAGGAAGGTAAGTCGATAGGTAGTCCTCCTCCACCCCCCATCCCACTTCTGCCTACAGCAGTGAGTTCTTGGAAAATAAAACCAACTGGGGGGCTGGAGTGATAGTACAGTGGGTAGGGTGCTTGTCTGCATGGGGCCAACCTGACACATCCCATATAGTCTCCTGAGCAATGCCAGGAGTGATTCCTGTACATAGCAAGGAGTACCCTTGAGCATCACTGGGTGTGACCCAAAAAGTCCCAACCCTCCCCCCAAAAAACCCCAGAAATCCCCCAAAACCCCCAACTAGTTCCAAGGCTGCAAAAACCCCACCTTGAGAGCACATAAACTAAAGCCTGATAAGATCTTTTCTAGTGCCAACACAGACCTAGAGAAGGCTAGACCATCCTTCAAGAAGCTCCAGCAACAGAGACCCAAGAAACGAATTTCATTTTTATTTTTCTTTTTGGGTCACACCCGGCGATGCACAGGGTTACTCCTGGCTCATGCACTCAGGAATTACTCCTGGCGGTGCTTGAGGGAGGGACGATATGGGATGCTGGGAATTGAACCCGGGTCCTCTGCATGCAAGGCAAATGCCCTACCTGCTGTGCTATTGCTCCAGCCCCAACCCAAGAAAGGAATTTCAAAGACCATCAGCTACTCCCAACTCCACCCCTTTGGCAACCACCGAAGCTACAGACTCTTACCTAGGTAGAAAGGCCCAGGTGGGACAGCTTGCGAGAAATCCTATAAAAGCTAACCTGAGCAAAGGAAGCGTGTGTATTTGCTGCTGGGGGCCATATGTTGCCAGTGCCCATATGTTCGTGCCGAGCACATGTGTTACCCGCATCTCCCCTCTTGAGATGTGTACTTTCATATCTAACAACGGACTATGTACCGGAGGCCCTCCTCCACTCCAGAGAAGCCCATGTTCTCTCTTGATTACGTCTCTCCCCAACCCCTTTCCTCAAAACTTCCAAATAAAACCCATTTTAATTTTGCTGCTGTCTCTTCCTGAAATCCTTTTCTGTGAGAAAGATAAAGGTTTAGGAGAGTTTCCCTTCCTGCAAGCAAGGCCCACAGCAGACTCATCTCCCCAGTCATTCCCCAGGGTGACAGAGGCGGAGAGAGAGAAAAACGGCAGATTCTCTTCTCGAAGCTGTCGCCTCTCTCCTCCCCACTTCACCGAGGTCACTTGGGGACCCCGTCGGTATTAGTTAGAAACATAATATAGTATGGAGGATAAAATTAGACTCTGGAATTAGACTCTAGCTGTGCAATCTTGGACACATTACTCTCAGTTCCTCTATGCCTTAGTTCCCCTGATTAAATGAGGATAGCACAGTTTCTATCCACAGGGTGGTTATGGGGATTAGAGCAGTGCCAAATGCATAGCAAGCCCACAATGTATGTTTTCTGTCATTCATTAGTTGTCTCTCAACCTAGTATCCAAATTTTCCCAAATCAGAGATCACCTATTATAGCCAAGTGCATAAGAAGCCTTTGAAGAACACTGAACACATGAGAGCCTGAGGCAGTGCTAGATGGTAAGTAAACAAAGGTCCCCAGCTCCAATACTGAACTATTGTAAGAGCATGGGGTACGTACCTCCTGGACGGTCTGTGCTTGGTGAATGCGGAAGTTGACTGTGGCCTGGGCAACTGGAGGGATGACATTCACCTGGAGAGAGAACCATAAACCCAAGCCTGAGTAAAGTTCTCCGAACTGAGAAAATGCCAGATACTACCAGTAGGGAGACAGGAAGTTGATGAAGTGGTGATGACAGGAGCTGGAGGTGTCTCTGCTGTAGGCCAGAGTTGCCCATTCCTCTTGGTCGTGGACAGGATTACAGAGAGTGGTCACAGCAGCACCGCCTTGGCCATCGGCTCTTGCCCAGAACACCCACATGAGCATCAGTGAGGCCTCAGGACAGTGCACCCAGAGCCTCAGCAGGGCCCCACGATGGAGTGTGTGAGCCCTGAGGTGATGGGACCACAGCAGTGGTGGTTTCCCCTGTCCAGCTGCAAAGTCTGACTGTCCTTTGCCTGACCAGGAAGAGCTCAGCATTAAGAGAACTAGGGGATGGCACTTTCCCCCTTGCAGGTTCCAGCCACACCTCTTGCCTTGGACAAGTGTGGACAAAAGCTTCTGACTGGGGACAGGGGAAACAGGCTGATAGGCAGCAGCTGCGAGGTCTGGGAGAAGCATCATCTCTTTGCACTTCTGTTCTCTCCAGTGGTAATTGGGGCGATGACAGTTCGGAAACTGTTACAAGGATCACAGGGACCAACAAATGGGACCACATTCTGGACAGAGCAAACTCTATTCAGCAGCAAGAACACAGTCCTATTGTTCTGGTGATCACTGTGGGCAGCTGCGAGGACAGCGAGGGTCCAGCTGGCATGTGAACACTCAGTGGGTTATGTCAGGAATGAATTCTGAGGAACCATTCACGGCTCTTCAACCCTGCCTCAGGATCACCAGAGCGCTTCAAGCCACTCTGTCCTAGGTGAGTGGAAATCTGTGAACTGCATCCGAGCCTGGCAGTATTGCAAGTCCTTCCTATCCCCTCTCTTAAAAAAAAAATTATTGAGTCTTCGTAAATTGAGTTTCAGGCACACAATGTTTGAGCACTCATCCCTTTAACAGTGTCCCCCTTCCTTCCACCAGTGTCCCCCAGTTTTCCTCCTGCTCTTCAGTTTGCCTCTATGTCAGTCACTTTTTCCTCTCAGGCACTCTGGCTTGCAGTACCATTGCTGAAAGGGTATTGTGCGTCTCACTTTACCTCACTTCAGCACCCAGTTCTTGTACAGAGTGATCACTTCCCCTATCATTGCTGGTGTGGTCTCTTCCCTGTCCTAACTCCCCTTGCCCCTGTCCTCCACATCACTATGGCAATCTACTAAGGACCAGTTCTCCTGCCTTTCATTTGGTCGTGACCCTTCTGAACTGTCAGAAAGGCTGACTAATCTGGCTATGGTTTTGAAACAGAGATGCCTCTTAGTGGCCAAGATAACTGGAAATAGATTCATTGGATGGAAAGTATTTCTTGGAATAAAAATTCATCAAGCTATTGATTTATTGAAACCCATTTACATAACAATAAACCTCACAGAATTTATACTTGTCTCACACTACTTGGGGAAAATGACAATGTGTATATTATAATTGTATTAAAACAAAAGTTAGGAGATTTTATAAATGGAAAATAAGTTTCAGGGTACAACTAGCATAAAATACATTAATCATCCAATAAAGTTGGGGGGTAAATCTTTCAAAATATAAGAATAAATAAGACAGAGACACTTAGACCTTTTTTTTTCTTTTTGAGTCACGCCTGTCTATGCACAGGGATTACTCCTGGCTCTGCACTCTGGTATTACTTCTGGTAGTGCTCGGGGGACCCTATGGGATTCTGGGAATCAAAAGGTTGGCTGCATGCAAGGCAAACGCCCTACCCGCTGTACTGTCACTCCAGCCCCAGCCACCCTTGGAGTTTAATAAAAAATAGAGGCTAGAAACCTTTGGTGTATGTGACTTAAATGCTGTATGTAACAGGCTCTTCAGACTGGTATAATGGTTGTTTTTGAGGTTATATTGGCCAAACAAACCAAGAGAGGCCATGGACAACCCCTAAAATACAACCGTACCAAATGTGGGCAGCGATCTCGACCCCTTGTTCTGAGAGTTACTGAGCTGATGATGCAGACAGTTCAGCACCAGGTCTTTCTGTGATTTTAACCAGAGAAAGAAAGAAGAGTCAGGGGGTGAAGCCAGTAGATCAAGGGTGGTGGTTAGTGAGGGAGAGGCAGAAGGAAGAAGCATGTCACATTACCTTGATCCCTGCATTGAACATGGTGAGCGCCGTGGTCGTCCTAACCAATGCATTGGTTACGTCATTCTTCTCCATTAACCTAAAGCCAAAGGAGTTAGTCACACATTAGGAAGGACTGTCCAATGAGGAAAAGGAGGATGGAGAAATAGCTCCAAGGACTGAGTGAATACGTTGCAAGTGGGAAGCCTGGGTTCAAACCTTGGTACTACATGATCCACCAGACTTGTAGGCCTAACTCCCACAGACCCAGGAGTAGTATCACAGTACCACCCCTCATAAAAACAGACCAACAAGACAAAAAATGACAAGACTAAGGGAGGCTGGTGATGTGGTTCAGTAGTAGAGTTCAGGCCTTGTGTGTGTGAATCCTGGATTAACAGGGGGCCCCATGTATGAAATTCCTCTATCTGCTAACTGAACAGTTAGGCCCTGTTCTACAAGGAGAGGGGGGCCGCTGGGGTAGGTAGGAATCAGGTGGGAAATATGAAGGAAGGAAAGAGAAATCTTTACCTGCTTACAAGGGGTCGAAATAGCCACAGGTTGCCCAAGACTATATTGGCTGGAAAGGGAAACTGCAAGGAAAACAGTCAGCTGAGTGGGAATCAAGTTGGAGCCAAGGTCACGGGGGCCTGGGGCTCTCCAACCTTAGACTCAGCCTCAAGGTGAGCAGGAAGCAGCTCCACATGGAGCCTGTGTGCGTAGGTCTCAGAGAAGCACCGACATGCGGGGGCGGGGGGTGGTTTGGCAGACCCTCCGTCTTGGCCCTGCCACTGCTGGGACTAGGTGAGGGGCCTGAGATCTAGGCTGCAGCTGGGTCCTTTCACCACAGACAAGGTAACATCTCTGCCCCCCTTTCTTCTTCTCCCACAGCTCCCCAGCCAGACGAGACTCGATTCCTTCCCACACCTCTTTTGCCAGTAGCTGCAGTGTCGTCGTCAGGGTCCCGTCTTCAAACATATTCGGCATTGGGGTCTGCTCCAGTCTGGATGAGAAATGAAGTTGAGACTCCCTCAGACCGGAAGGAAGGAGGCCTCTGGCCCCTCCACCAGCCTCATCCTTTGAAGATCTCAGCACCAGCAGCAGCAGTAGCAGAAGGGGTTCCTCGACTCTGCCCACGAGCTGCCCTATCTGCCAAGTCCAAGTTGGGACACGCCTCTCTCATAGTTCCTTGCCACCTGCCAGTCTCCTCAGCCAACCAAGCTCATGAGGCAGGGCCAGCCTGGACTTTCCATGGCGTGCCTGTCCACTGCATGAAGCCTTGCCCGTGGCAGATATGTAACTGCTAAGCACAATGAACACAGTGGTTTTCTCTCTGCTTAGAAACTCAGCGAGTCGTGGGGATTCTTGCAGCCTTTATTTACCTTGCCAGGCAGAGAACTGGTCATTGCCAGCTCGTGATTTTTTTTTTCCTTTTTGGATCACACATGGCAATGCACAGAAGTTACTCCTGGCTCATGCACTCAGGAATTACTCCTGGTGGTGCTCGGGGGACCATATGGGATGCTGGGAATCAAACCCGGGCCAGCCGTGTGCAAGGCAAACGCCCTACCCACTGTCATATCGCTCTAGCCCCAGCTGTGATTTTTAACTTCTGCTCTGGACTTTGGGCTGCAGTGGCTCCCCGCCCCAGCTCTGCCTGCTGGCTTGCCCTCGCCTCTGACCATATGGTCAGGTGCTCACCTAACCATGCTGGGCCATGACTTGCCTGGATAGCTTTCTTCTTTCTGTCACCCCCACTCCAGCTTCAGGGCAGGAAACTCAAATGTGGGAAGTGGCAGATCTTCCCTGCTGGTCCTGGCCAGGGGGTAGGGCCAGGAGGTACTCACCGGGAGACGGCAGCTGCAAGGATGCCGATGCTCGTCTCCTTTGGAGGAGCTGAAGAATGGCCCGGCGTCATGTTTACTTGCAACAAGAGGCTGAGTTTACCCTTCTCGGAGACTGAAATCCTGTAGGAGAGGAGCAGAAGGGGCCTGATTTCCTTCTGCCATGATGAATCTCATAGGCTCACGTGTCTGGTGGGCCAGGAAGTCAGTTTCCTGATACATACAAAGGATCTACAAACTAGGGAGAATGGGAAGGGTGGAAATTCAGGACAATGAAAGCCAGAAGTGTACCACAGAGAGGCGTCCCAGCAAGGCTCACAGCACCAGGCTGGGGTCACCTCAAATGGGTGGGATGCCTTACTCACATGGCAACGGGCTTCTTGAGGCTGGGAATGAAACCGTCCAAGATAAAGCTGCCCTCATCCACGACGAAGGCCAGTTGGACGCCCCTGGCCTGCAGCAGCGCTGAGATCTTCTGAGCTCCATTCATCCCTGACACCTGCAATACTAAGCCTGGGGTCACAAGTCCTCAGCAAGTCTCCAGGGGCAGCTAGGGAGACCCACCCAAGTATGCTGTGGCTCCAGAACATTCCTTCCTGCTCCTTTTGGGACAGGGCCTCGGGGCTTTCCACATCCTGCCTCACAATGTCTTGGGCTGTCAGTCAGCAAGTCATGACCTCATTCCCCAAGTGAAGACACTGCGTCCCAGAGAGTGGTGAGACATATCCATTGAGGCCCTGTGTGCAGTTCTCTTCCTGCCCCATAGAGCTTCGCATGTGTGGTCAACAGCCTGATGCCTCAGTAGTACCAGACTTGGTTAAAAATCCTTGTTTAGGATCGGAGAGATAGTTCAGTGGGTAGGGAGCTTGCTTTGCGTGGCTAACCCATCCCCAGGACCCCATATGAACCCCTGAGCCTGCCAGGAGTGATCAGTGATGTCAGCTGAAAGTGGGCCCAAATAAAACAAAATTTTTGTTTCTGACTGGGTGAAGAAAGTCAACCTGGAAAGATCCTATACTGTGACTCCAGCTATACAACATAACATTCCAGATAATACAGAGATTTCAGCTGTTGCCAGGAACCGGAGGAAGGAGAGAGGGATGACTGGGCAGAGAAGAGAGGATTTGAGAGCCGTGAAACATATTAGGATGAAATCTCTGCATCGTCTTAGTTTTGCTAAACATCTCTAAAAGTATTTAAAATTTCAACCGTACGAGTGCTCGAAAGCATGGTCCCTGAAACAGAGTTGGGAGTAGCTCCTATGTTCTGCCACATATTGTCTAAAAACTAGAGGAAAAAGCCTTAAAATTCAGATATACTGGGGTTAGGGTAATAGAACAGTGGGCAGGGCATTTTTCTTGCATGTGGCCAACGCTGATTTGACCCCCAGCATCCCATAGTCCCCTGAGAACTGCGCCAGGAGTCATTAATTCCTGAGTGCAAAGCCAGAAATAAGCCCTGAGCATCACTGGTGTGGCCCAAAATCAAAGCGCAAATTTCAGATATACAGCACAGAACCTAGAAGTCTTTACTTTAGGCAAGTTTTGGTGCACAGATACAGAGACAGTGACCATGTAGCTGAACAATCAACTAGACTATCATGCAGTGTATCCCAAACAGGAGCCCAGACATGAATGAGTATGGAGAGAAATCCTACCTCCTCATCATGGCCCAGAGCAATGAAGAAAGATCTTCGGGGGACGTATTTTCTGATCAGCAGGAGCTCCAGGGCCTGCAGGATAGCCTGGGGGTAGAGGCACCATGGAAGTATAAGAAAATCAGGGTATGCAGCAGGGTGTTGGAGGTGGGGTCTGGCAGATTCCTCTAGTCTAAGGGATTGGTGCTCTGGAGTAGAGTCTGCATGCAACCTTTTCTATCTGGAGAAAGTGCTGAGTGGCTCCCTTGGGACCATCTCAAATCCGTTTTTATGGTTGAGAAACCAAAGCCCAGAAATGGCAAATGACCAGGTTGCCCAGGACACTGGCTCCCAGCTGGCTTCTCCCCTCAGGTGTCTACCTTTCCCAGGTCAGAGGGGCACCTATACTCTGGGTTGACCTTTAGGGCCCCAAGGCAGAGGGAACATCATGTTTCAGACCATCAAGGAATTCTTGTTGTCCAGTGTGCCTCGGCCATGGATGAAGCCATCATATTCCAGCCCAGAGAAGGGGGGAAACTCCCAGCCTTCTTCGGGGGCCGGCACCACATCGATGTGGGCCAGTAGCAGGTAGGGCTGCAAGCCAGGGTCCGAGCCTTGGACAGTGAACAGGTGGCTGTACTCTCCCACGACTTCATGCTGGATAAAATCGGTGCTGAATATTGTAGGAAAGGCTAGAAGCAAAGGGAACAAAAGCTAGGATGAAGTTTTCTGTTTCTTCTGGTTTTCTACCATGTGTTGGAAAAAAGCCCATTTAAAAAACATTGCAAAACAATACAAAATATATTATTTCTGTTCTGCTTTGGGGCAGGGATTGGGGTTTGAGATGGAAACATCTGAAATATGGTGGTGGGAAGGTGTAATGGTGGTGGGATTGGTGTTTGGATATTAAATGCGATCAAATACTGTGAACTACTTTATAAAATAAAAAAAATAAAAAAAATATAAAACACTGCAGCCTCCATCAGGAAGCCTCTGAAACAAAGTGTGGTTCCTGGCCAGCTCTGGCATCTCCCAACTCCCCTCTCCCTACATTTCAGCAGGTGGTTACTGCTCAGTAATGTGCCTTTAGGACTCCACCAGGAGGATGTGACATCTGGCTCCAGACCTGGCCTGCTGTGATCTGTGGTACAGCGCTATGCAGATTAGGGGTTATGCTGATTATGCAGATTAGCGCTATGCAGATTTAATTTGGAATATTGCAAGCCCACTGTCCAAATCTCTTGGACCCAAACATAACCTTTATGTAAAACAAAAATGAGCTATATTTTCCCTTTAACAAACACTATTCTTCCAATTGTGTGGCGTAGAGATAAACTTTTGCTCAGTACAAGGCTGCACTTTGTGCAGGTGTGGATGTTCCCAGGCTCTGTCCTTCAGATCACAGGTGGCTTTAGACAGACTGGAGAGAGAAACTTTATCTAAACTTGGGACTTGGTTGGAAATGTCCACAAAGACTTCTGGGGATACAAGAAAACAAAAGACCTGACATGTTTCAGTGTCTTCCAGCTGATCTAGTTTACTGTGATTCTACCTTGATTTCTTTATATGTCTACACTATGTTGGGCTGGAGCCATATCACAGCGGGTAGGGTGTTAGCCTTGCACGCAGCCAACATGGCCGACCTGAATTCTATTCCTCCGCCCCTCTCGGAGAGCCCGGCAAGCTACCAAGAGTATCTCGCCCGCATGGCAAAGCCTGGCAAGCTACCCGTGGCGTATTTGATATGCCAAACACAGTAACAAGTCTTACAGTGTTACTGGGCCTGCTCGAGCAAATCGATGAGCAACGGGAGGACAGTGACAGTGACAGTCTATACTATGTACTTCCAGCAAGGCTGCTGGAGATGAACCATATCTATTTGTCTTGCCAAAGTGTTAGTAATGGGGATGCCTGCTGTCCCCAGACCACCTTTTCCGATCCTGGAAAACTCTGGAGAAGCAGTTTTCCATTGGGTTTTTAAAGGTAATGTCACTACTTTTAATTAACTTGACATGTGAGAAGGTGGAGTTCTCCATCTTTTTACTTCGTTTGTCCTATCCTTCACACCCTGTACCCATGGTATGGCGGGGAGGGGAGAGAACTGATATGATCACTGACTGGAGTGATAGTACAATGGGTGGAGGGTACTTGCCTTGCATGCAACCAACCCAGGTTCCATCCCCGGCATCCCATATGGTCTCCCAAGCCCAGCTAGGAGCGATCCCTGAGCGAAGAGTCAGGAATAAACCCTGAGCACTGCTAGGTGTGTCACCCTACCCCAAATGTGGGGTGGAGATATGGCTCAAGAGGTAGAAAAATGCTATTTATGTGCAAAGCCCGAGTGTGACCCTAGCCACTGCGTGCCCGTCTCCCATCCCGTCCAAGTACCATTGCCTATGGCTGCCACAATTTTTTTTTAATGTGTTAGCAATGAATCTGGAGTAGGGCCTGGGTAGATGGAGAGTATATATGTTATGTCTGCTGTGTAGGTGTATATGGAGGATGAAGTAGGAACCTTGTTTAGGAAGAAATGTCTGATCTTACATGATATTTATAATACTTTGATTGATTCATATTGAATGACTGGGAGAGTTCAAGCTCCCACTCAACTAGGGCTTTGAAGAGCCCTGTCTGTTGTCTTCACTCAGATGCCCAGATTCTCCCTGCCTGCTATTCCACCAGGACAGACTGTGTGTGTTAGTTCATTCTTTGGTCAGACACAAAGTCAACTTCTTTCCCATCCCGTGAATAAACCTGGTCTCCAGAGCTATTTCCCCTGCCTTTCCCACAGTTTATATCTGACCTCTGCGGATGAATTCTCCAAACTCAGCCAGGGCTGTGGTGTTGTACTCTTCAGGGCTGAAGGACACCGTTGGAATCTGAATGGCACCTGCCAAGAGTCATGGTAAGAGGTGCAAGATTATAGTTAACTGCCTTGGTTTCTCCACAGCCCTCTGTATACAAAAAGTTTGTTTGCATTTCTTATCTTATTGTGGAGGACAAAGCCACCTGGTAAAGTTAGCCAAGTTTTCCATCACCCCAAAGGGAAGAAGTTGAGAAGTTGATTGAAGTGCTCAAAGGTTATCCAGATCAGCAGAATTGAGATTGGAAACCAGCTCTTTGGGTTATTTTTTGTTTGCTTGTTTTTGTTTTTAAAGATAATATGATTCTTGATAGCACAGCAGGTAGGGCGTTTGCCTTGCACACAGCCAACATGGCCAACCCGAATTCGATTCTTCTGCCCCTCGCCGAGAGTATCTTGCCCTCACGGCAAAGCCCAGCAAGCTACCCATGACATATTTGATATGCCAAACACAGTAACAAGTTTCACAATGTTACTGGGCCTGCTCGAGCAAATCGATGAATAACAGGAGGATAGTGATAGTGATAGTAATGATTCTTCACACTGGAGCAATAGTACAGAGAGTAAAGCCTTGCATGTGGCCAAGCCAGGTTCAATTCCCAGTCTTCCATATGGTCCCCCAAACATTGCCAGGACTTATTTCTTTTACTTTTTAAATTTATTTTTTAAAAATTATTATTTTTTTATTGAATCAAGTGTCGCTGTGAGATAGTTACAAAACTTTCATGATTTTTAGTCATACAATGTTACAATACCCATCCCTCCACCAGTGTACATTTCCCACCAACAATACCACCCCCTCCGTACCCTTCTCCCTTCCCCCAGCCTGCCTCGATGGCAGGCATCTCTCTCTCTCTCTCTCTCTCTCTCTTTCTCTCTCTCTCTCTCTTTCTCTCTCTCTCCCCTTGAGGGCATTTTTGTTTGCAATACAGAAACTGAATTTCAATTTATTTATTTATTTAATTTTTTTCATTAATTAATTAATTTATTTATTAGTGAAACACCATGAGGTACAGTTGCGGACTTACAAACTTTCGTGTTTGGGTTTCAGTCATACAATAATTGAATACCCATCCCTCCACCAGTGCCCATTCTCCACCACCAGTGATCCCAGTAGCCCTCCCACTACCACACCCCATCCTCCCACTCTACTCGCCTCTGGCAGGGCATTCCCTTTTGCTCACTCTTTTCATTAGGGTGCTGTAGTTTGCACCAGAGGTATTGAATGGCTATCGTGTTCGGTCTATAGTCTACATTCAGCATGCATCTCGCATCCTGAGTGATTCCTCCAAACATCCTGTACTTGGTGTTCCCTTCTCTGTCTGAGCTGCCTTTCCCCCCAGCATGTGAGGCCGGCTTCTAAGCCCTGGAGCAGACCTCCTGGTACTTATCTCAACTATTCTTGAGTGTTCGACTCCCATTCTGTTATTGTATATTCCCCAGATGAATACAGTCTTTCTATGTCTGTCCCTCTCTTTCTGGCTCATTTCACTTAGCATGATACTTTCCATGTAGAACCACTTGTATGTAAATTTCATGACTTCATCTTTTCTAACAGCTGCTTAGTATTCCATTGTGTAGATGTACCAAAGTTTCTTTAACCAGTCATCTGTTCTCGGGCACTCGGCTTTTTTTAAAAATATGGAACGCTTCACAAATTTGCATGTCATCCGTGCGCAGGGGCCATGCTAATCTTCTCTGTATCGTTCCAATTTTAGTATATGTGCTGCCGAAGTGAGCACAGCCAGGACCTATTTCTGAGTGTAGAGCCAGGTGTAACCCCAGAGCATCACTGGGTGTGATCTCCCCCTTCCAAATAAAGCTAGTATGTTTTTTTTTACTGTGCAATGAAACATTTTTATTCAATTAAATTTATGGGTTTTCTTTTCATTGAATCACCACGAGATACAGTTACAAAATTTCATGATTACATTTGAGTCATACAATGATCGAGCACCCACCACCCTTCTACCAGTGCACATTTTTCACCACCAGTGTTCCCAGTATCCCTCCCACCACCACCAATCCATCCCAACCCCTACGCCTCTGTAGTAGGTACATTTCTTCTTACTTTTTCTCTACATTTGGGTGTTATGGTTTGAAATACAGATAATGAGAGGCCATCATGTTTGGTCCTTAGTCTACATTCAGCACACATCTCCCATCCTGAGCGATCCCTCCAACTATCATTTACTTAGTGGTCCCTTCTCCATCCTAACTGTCTTTTCCCCTAGCACATGAGACTAATATGGTTATTAAAGGAAAATAAAGTCTAAGTGGTTGGAAAGATAGTACAGGGATTAAGGTGCTTGCCTTACATGTGACCAACTCTGGTTCAATTCCTGATACCACATATGTCCTCTGAAGCACTACCAGGAGTGCCCCTCAGCTCTGTTGGGTATGGGCCAGTGTGCCCTGTCCCACTCAAAGGAAAAGAAAGTCTAAAACAGGAGTGTTAATTTTGGATCCTGACCTGGAATGGGAAACTGCTATCCCCTACCTCCTAAGGCTTCTCTTTCCTGAGAAAAGCCCATCCTGTGGTGACTCCATGGAGCCCTCTGTCTGGGGTTCTGTGTGAATGCAGCTTTGGGTGCTGTTGTGTCTATTTCCCATGGGTGGGCTCTTTCAGAGCTCATGGATCTTCCACGCAAGACCAGCTGTGGGCCACACAAAGCCAGGGAAGGTGGAACACAGGATCTTCCAAGTAAGTTCCTCAGTTCTAAATAATCTCATCAGACCCCATAGAGATGTCTCAGTTCCTAAATTTCTACTAAGTACATGCTCTTGATTCCTGAGAATTTTCAATTCTGTTGGTTTTGGGCCACACTTGGTGATGTTCTAGGGTTACTTCCAGCTCTGCACTCAGGAATTATTCCTGGCAGTATTTGGGGGACTATCCGGGATGTTGGGGATAGAACTCTAAAGCAAGCACCTTACCCACTGTACCAGCACTCTGGCCTGAGAGTTTCCCATTCTTAAATAGCTGTTTATCAAATGGAAGGGGAAATGGTGAGCGCATGTAGATAGCTCTATAGGGAACCTAGCCCTTTGGATCGAGGGAGGGGCCCTGAGCCTCTGGAGAAGGAGAGCCTGTCACAGAGAGGGGGAAGCTGACAGATGAAAAAGCAGCTTTAGACAGGCACCTTTTTGTTGTTGTTGTTCTGTGTGAGAGGCGGGCTCAAGCTCCAGGCACTGGCTGTGCTCAGAGTGTTACTAGCAGGTCCTGCCGGATTTCTGTCCAGTATTTGCTGACTTCTGTGCACACTGTGGAGCGGTGCCCATTGCCTCTCACAGGATATTTCCACTCTGCTTGGAAAGTCCTTGTGCCAAGTATGTAGTCCAGCCCTTTGAGCCAAGTCCCCAAGAAAAACGTATCTGGCTTTTGCGCCATACCCAACGATGCTCAAGGCTTAACTCCTGGCGGTGCTCAGAGAACCATATGCAGTGCTGAGGATTGAATGAAGGTTAGCTTTATGCAAGCCAAGTGCTGGGGTTGGAGAGATAGTACAGCAAGTAGGGCACTTACCTTGAAAACGCTCACACAGGTACAATCCCTGGCATCCCATTTAGTCCCCTGAGCCCTGCCAGGAATAATTCTGAGCATTGGCGGTGTGCCTCACCTCCTTGCCCCTAAAGACAAGTGCTTTTTTTTTTTTTTTTATCTTTCCAGTCTCCATAGCCTTCACATCTACTATTTAATGAAAGGAACAAAGCTGGGGGCAGGTCCAAAGGTGAGGAAGCTGCTTATTATCCCACAGAAGCTGGAACTCAACAGAGATCACTCCCCTTTTCTGGAAAACGTTGATTTAGGAAGTTAGAGCTCTTAGAATTTGGTTCTTGTATTGGGTCACCCGTGGAAATGCTCAGCGGCTCAGAGGAGGCAGCCTTGGCTTGATGTCTTAAGAGAGGACGGACACCTTAATTAGGAGAGGAAATTAGGAACTATCCCCAGCCGGGTTTCCCCCTGCGCGTAGACACTGCTCCCTCTGCTGGAGCGGGCTGGAGCGGGGCTGGATATTGTCCAGTATTGGGCATCGCCTACGGGGATCTGGGTATTGTCACCAGAGCCCACGTGCAGTGAATTGCGGGATCCCTGCACAGAGGAAAGCCTCAGTGTCTCTCCTCGGAGATAAGATTAAGATCTTTCAGTCTTAAGGTACCGCCGAGACACAGCAGAGGAAAAAAACACCCAAAGGGTTAAAGTACAAATCAAGACTTTTGAAATGCTGGAGGCAAGCAGGGCTGGGCAGTGTGGCGACAGGGCGACCTTGGAGCTCCCAGGCTAGGCAGGGTTCACCGGAGTCCCCGTAAGCCGAGACTGGGAGCAGCAGGGCGTCCTCAACTGGGCACGAGGGGGGTGGGGGAGGAGTCGGGAGTCGGAGTCGTGCGGGAGGGGTGGAGGGGGTGGGGGAATCGAGAGGGGGGCAGGGGTAGGGTGTGGGCTAGAGCGCCCCTGGGTGCTGGAACTCCCGCACCAGTAGTGGATCCTCTGCGGCGGGCGAGGGAATCACGGGTCCGAGGATGGAGGTTCTCAGGTGAGCGAAGGGGACCCAGACTTACCTTTCAGCGCCTCTTTCATCGCGGTGCGCTCCTCGTCGTCGAACTGTGGAGGGATCCGCTGTCCCGCCTGATACTCCCCGCCCCGCAGCCCCTTCGCTCTGGAGACGGTGGCGATGCCCAGCAGCTGCACAGCTGCCAGGGTCAGCACGCAGATGAACGGCCGGGCCATTCTTCTTCCCCGCAGATGGAATTTGACCGATATGCCCAAGCCTTCCTCCTAATTCCCGCAATTACTTTAGCCACACCCCATTCCCAGACGGGCCAATCATGGCCCAGTGGGGCTACCTACAGCCAATCGGGAGGAGACTCCGGCCCGGCCCACAAAGCCTTTGGGGTGTTGTGGTCTTGCCCTGCAACTAGCTGATGTAGCGCAGAGGTGAGGTAGGGATCCAGGCTACTGTCACGTCACGCTTCTACGTGTCGCTTAAATCTCTCCCCACATGCGGGGGGGAAATGAAAATAAAATAAACTAAACCTTGCCATCCTGAATCTGCTTGAAGCCCAGGATTTGACTTCCATTGCTTTGAGACTCTCCAGGGACGGGATGGGGAGATAGTTCAAAGGGTGGAACACAAGCCTAGCATGCGCGGGGCTGAGTTCAGGTTACCAGAAGACACGGCTCCTCTGGTAGGCTGTAACCCTGGTGGTCCCCCCATATTCCTTGGGAGTGGCCAAGGGGGAGAACAACAGAGTGTGGTCCACTTTGATCACCTCAAATAAAGATTTATTGGGGAGCTCTCTGGTATCCTGGTGTGATTTCATCTAAAATTGGAATAGTTAATATCAAAGGATTACAAATTCCTCACGTTAGATTACAAAACCAAGATTACCACGCACTGGTGAAAGTGGGCGAGAGAAAGAGGTGAATTAGAAAAGTCATTAATTAGGTTAGAGGTGGAAGGAACAGTAACTTTACAGTTGAAACCATAAACAATTCTATGTAAGCATGTTACCCAAACTCCCCCACCCAAACTACAATGAATTAAAAACATACTGTTGGAATAATGTTCCTCTGTCTATATACATTGCTTTGACATGTCAGCTCAGGACAGGAGAGATAGCACAAGGAGTTAGGCACTTGCCTTGCATGGGACAAAACCCTGTTCAATACCTGTACTGTGTATAGAACTCTGAGCCCAGAGTCAGAACTAAGTTCTAAGCAGCTCCAGATGTGACCCCACCAAACACACCTACAATAAAGAAATATAAGTTCAGAGTGTTCACTCCCATAGAAAAAAAGTTTTTAATTTTTTTTTAGAAAAAAAGTTTTTTGAAAGTGTTAACACTAGACTTTTGCAACCCTAGGTAAATAGTAAGATAAAAGGGGTTTTAGAAAGATTGTGTATAAATAATTTTGATGCACCCACAGCTAAAATTTATAGCTATTTAAAATTGATCATTTTTGAAACAACAAAAAAATCCCTCTTAAAGCACTGGGGAGATAATGCAAAGGATTGGAGAGCATGCTTTTCATGTGGGAACCCCAGATTTTAACCCTGGCACCTTATGGTTTCCTGAGCACTGGACAGAGAGTAATCCACATGAATTGCTGTTGTGCTCCTCCACACATACAAAGGGGAAGATCTCTTTTAGGACACAGAAATATACAGACTAGATTACTTACAGCTTTTCATATTTCCTGATGCAATTTAATCTGCACCATTATATTTTGGAATCCTCTAGACAAGTAGCTAGTAGGGCCATGTAGTTATTTTTGACCAGAGCTGCATAGTCATATGTCTGATATTTTTCAAAGCTCAGGGAGAATGTTTTATTTTTTTACTAACCCTTAGCTTAAAAACCACCACAAGTAAAGAACTATGCTTGTGTAATACTTACAGAAATTTAAAGCCAATATTATGAAACTGTTCAGGTACAGAAAGGCGTAAAAAAATCATAAGAGCTGGGGATGTAACTAAGTGGTAGAACACTTGCCTTACATGTATGAGGCCTCAAGTTGTTTCCTGACTGGTATTGGTCCCCCTGCCGCACCCCTCTCTTGACATCAACGATCACTTCTTTGTAGAATGGTGAGATCCTGGTAGTGAATCCGCAATACAGCTCACGGAGGATCCTGATGTATTGGGCTTGAATGCCCTGATTGGCTAGGGCTTCAATGACCGCTTCCGTCTCAACAGAATCAAAGGCCTTCTTTAAATCAATGAACGTTAAACAGAGCGGCATCTTGAACTCCCGAAAAACCTCAATGAGCTTGGTTATCGTGTGGATATGGTCGATGGTGCTGAATCCTTTGCGGAACCCGGCTTGCTCGCATGGTTGTCCTTCATCTAGTGTTCTGCCAATCCTATTTAGGATGACTCGAGTGAACAACTTGTAGATGACAGACAATAGGCAGATTGGGCGATAGTTGCCATTGTCATGGAAGTCTCCCTTCTTGAACAGTAGTACGGTCCTGCTGGTTTTCCACTGGGACGGAACCTTGCATTCAGACAGGTAGCGAGTGAAGAGCCGAGCCAGTGTATTGATGAGTACTGACGGCAGGTTCTTCAGGTGTTCAGGTCTGACCTTGTCTGGGCCGGGGGCTGTTTGTTTCCTCACCACGAAATGGCGTGTCGGATTTCGGAAGGGAGAACGTTGGGAACGACATATCCATCCTGTGGAATTTGGTATGTCGGCAAGTGGACATGGCTATCGGAGAGATTTGAGTAGAAGTCATGGATAATCTTCTCCACTGCCGTTCTGGAGGATGTGATGGATCCATCAGGACGTCGGAGGGCAGTCATCTTGGTCTTGTAGTTGGCGAAGGACAGGCGGGCGTTACGAATACTCTTCCCGGCTTCTGCTGCATCTACCAGTACTTCTGCTCTTCTCTCTTTGAGGTCTTCCTTGATCGCATCTCTGCACTGCTTTGCGAGCTCGGACGTTAGCTTGCGGTTGCCTGAGGCATGCGCCAAACCACGCTGACGAATTAGCTCAAGAGTTTTCGAAGATAGGCGATTTTTTGTGGCTATCTCTCTCTTGGCATTCCTCGCACATTCATGGAGGTGCTGAACCAGTTGATCGTATTCCTCGTCAATGTTGTCAACAATGGCATCTTCCCATGTTGCCGCAATAGTGCCAAAGAGTTCCCAGTTGGAACTCTTCAGTGCCACCCTCGAGAACATCATGCGACGACTAGAATGGGAAGGAATGGGAGTGAAGATAGATGGTCGGCAACTACACCACCTCCGCTTTGCTGATGACATTGTTTTAATAACACCAAACATCAGCCAAGCGGCACAAATGCTGGCCGACTTTGACCGTGAGTGTGGAAAGGTAGGACTACAGCTGAATCTTACGAAGACAATGTTTATGAGAAACAGCCTCGTTCCTGATGCCCCATTCGCTCTCAATGGAACGACCATCTCTGAATGCAACAGCTATGTGTACCTAGGTCGAGAGGTCAACGTGACAAATGACCTGGCACCCAAGCTGCGCAGGAGGAAGAGAGCGGCTTGGAACGCCTTCAAGAACGTCGAAGAAATAGCTAAGAGGACGAAGAACCTCCGGCTCCGGGCACATCTCTTTGATTCCACTGTTCTTCCTGCATTAACATATGCCTCAGAGACCTGGGCCCTACGCAAACAAGATGAGAACGCTATTCAGGTCTCCCAAAGAAGAATAGAAAGAGCTATGCTTGGAATATCACGTTTCACTCAAATGAGAGAGAGAATCCGGACTTCTGACATCCGTCGACGATCAAGAATCAGGGACGCTGTCTCATTTGCCAAGGTGTCTAAAATCAGATGGGCTGGTCATGTAATGAGATTTAAAGACGACCGCTGGACTAGAGCTGTTACCGACTGGATTCCACGGGATGTCAAAAGACCGCGTGGTCGCCCACCTACCAGATGGTCAGACTTCTTCGTCAAGATCATGAATGACCGGTTTGAGGCCCTTCATGTTCCCGGAGCGAACAGATGCCATTGGGCTACACTAGCACGCGACAGGGACAAATGGAGACGTTACTGGCGCCCGCTTGAGGAAATTGACGACTAACGGGAAGTTAAGTGATTAAGTGATTGGTCCCCCAAATACCAGTGGGGTAGTCTGATGGGCCCAATTCTGTGGGTGCAAGCAGCACTGGGCCAAGTATCAGAGAGAGTGGCCCCCACTTTCTGGGCACTGGTTGGGAGACCCCCAAATAATAATACAACTTACATTTATATGGCAAAAGCTTCTCCATATAAATTTTCCAGCAGTTTGGCAGTCACACCCACAAACTGTCCCATCAATTGTAGCTCTGTAGCACTGTAGCACTGTCCTCCCGTTGTTCATCGATTTGCTGAAGCGGGCACCCCTATTTTCCAGTTGCTTGGCAGTCACACCCACCACCCACAAACCGCCCCCGCCCCCCAGCACCATTTAATCCCATCAATGGCCAAGATCCAGAGACCATAAAACAAAACTCCCGGAAACACACTGCCACGACCTTTTATAGTCTAGCCCACTGACGTACCTAAAGCGGCACACATGTGTTTGGTTTTAACATACTTGCTTGTATTCTCCTCCATACATTTTCTGTCCCTCTTGGAGAGCCTGGCAAGTGCCCCATGTCGTATTTGATATGCCAAAAACAGTAACAATAACAGGTCTCATTCTCCTGACCCTGAAAGAGCCTCCAATACGGCACTGTTGAGAAGGACGAGTAAAGAGAGGCTGCTAAAATCTCAGGGCTGTGACGAATGGGGACGTTACTGGCACCTGCTCGAGCAAATCGATGAACAACGGGATGACAGTGATACAGTGATACAGTGACATTTATATATTCACCACCTACTCTACAATGTTGAACATTGTAGGATAACATTGATTTGCCCTTTGTCCTCTGCCTCAAGGAGCTTAGGTTTACTGAGTTACACCCATTACAGTGCTCCTAAGGCACTCCCATTACTCTGTATTTATCTTTAACTTCTCTGTGTTCTGCTTTCCCTATTTGTTAATCACCTATATCCCCAAATCAGACCCTGTGACTTGTAAGGGAAGATCTTTCTAAGGACTCTGGATTTTGTATTTGGAAGTGAAATATTGCTTTTCTTTCCCTTATGTCCTTTGCATGATGGGTCTCATTCTCCTAAAGAGCCTTGAATATAATCTCAGGGCTAGGATGAAAGAGACGTTACTGGGGCCTGCTCGAGGCAATCAACGAATAACAGGATGATGAAATGAAATGAA